ATGTGTAAAAAATTCCAAAGGGCCAAGAATCTGTCTCAAACTTCGGGAGTAAATCCAACGAAGTCAGAGCCCTCATTTGTCCAATAATCCCCATAGCGGGGCTTTATACACAAGTATTCCATATAGATCCTCAGTCCAAGAAAAGCCTTCATTTCTTCCCCTGTGGCATCCTTGAAGTTTTTGGCATTGTATGAGTTGGGCTTTGCTATATGCAATTGGTGGGCCTGGAGGTTGGTTTTCTCTGTCAAATTTTGCCAGAAAGTATCATCCAAAAACAAGGATAAAAAGTCAATCGGTTCACTCTCCTCTGCGATAGATCCAGGAATGTTCACTGGGCCTTTTCCATCCTCATTGAAATTCAGATCTGTACCGGTATTTGGTGATACAAAATTCCTTATCCAACCTTCATCACCACCTAGATCTCCCCCATCAGGTGTTTGAGGGACACGCCCCCCTTCTCTTACTATCTATCTAGCTCTAGATCTGTAAGGTTCAAGATTCTCCTCACCACTCAAGCTCTGTCTGTGTCACTTGAACTGGAAATGTATTCTTAATGAAATTCTGACTCCTCAGCCGGGACCGGTTTGGCTCAATGGATAGAGCGTCGGCTTGGGGACTGAAAGGTCCCGAGTTCGATTCCGGACAAGGGCATGTACCTTGGTTGCGGGCATATCCCCAGTAGGGGGTGTGCAAGAGGCAGCTGATCGATGACTCTCTCTCATCGATGTTTCTAACTCTCTATCTCTCTCCCTTCCTCTCTGTATAAAATCAATAAAATATATTTAAAAAAAAAAAAAAAAAAAAAAAAAAAAAAAAAAAGAAATTCTGACTCCTCAGGGTCTGAATCAACCAAAGTATCGATCACCTGTTGGACTGTGATAAGCCTATACCTACTTCGCTTTCCTGTTGAAGTGCTTGGTTCATCAGTCACTCATTTCATTGTGAATTTTCAGAATTTTTTCACGTCAAACCACACAAAGTCAATTCAAACACATAGGGGCAGACATTTGCAATGGCTAACCATGAGGTTTGACCACGATTGGTTGGTTATTTTTAGTTTGTGATGCATTTTTTTCACATACTAGGCAAAGAACCAAAAATTAGGTATAGCAGCAGATTCGGAAATTACTGAAAAGTTGGTACAGCAGTCGTAGGATTAAACAATCCAATGTTCGTGGAAAAGGAGTCCTGAGAAGAGGAGAGATTTTGAGAAAATGATGGCCAAAATCCCAAATTCTATCAAATTTAACCTATAGGTTCAAAAAGTTCAACAAGTCCCAAGCACAAGAAACCTAAAAAAAACTATACCAATAAAACATACTCAAATTGCTTATCCTATATAATAAAAAGCTAATATGCAAATTAACTGAATGACAGAACGACCGGTGGCTATGATGCCCACTAACCACTAGGGAGCAGACACTCAACATAGGAGCTGCCCCCTGGTGGTCAGTGCGCTCCCACAGGGGGAGTGCACGAATTCTGGGCATTGGGCCTCTAGTCTATATTATAAAAGGCCTGTGGTCCTAACACCATAACGACCAAAGACCAGCAGGGGTGGGTAGGGCGGCGAGACACACGTGAGTGGGTGAGGCCACACAATTTCACATATATATAAGCTAATATGAAAAGTGTCCCCAAGGGAGTTCAATTGCTTGCTATGACATGTGCTGACTACTAGGGGGTGGTGCAGAATGAAGAAAGGCCCTGGCCAGCAGCCAGAAGACCCCAATCGGCCCTGATTGCCAGTCAGGCCTATGGACCCTACCTGTGCATGAATTTCGTGCACCATACCTCTAGTAGCAATATAAAGAAGAGTCTCACATTTTATGCAGTGGAACAAAGATAAGGATAACAACTGACTTCTGTGAGAAAAAAAAGAAGTATAATATATTAGAGCAGTATCTTTAAAGTACTAAAAGAAAAGACCATCAATCTAAAATTCTTTACTGAGTAAAAATATCTTTGAAAATCAAAGGTAAAAAAAGTCCTATTCAGATATACAATAGCTAAAAATAATTATCACCAGCAAACATATGTAACAAAATTGTTAGGAGTTCCTTCAAGTAGGAAGACAATGATATAAGTGAAAATCTAGATCTACATTAAGAAATGAAGAATACTGAAAATCGTACCTACATGAGTAAATATAAAAGGTTCTTACTTATTTAAATCCCCTTAAAAATAATCAACTGTTTATGCAAAAGTAACAACAATGCATCTGTGGAGTTTAAATAGTAAAAGCATGACAATCATAGCACAAAGGCTGGGAGGGGGAAAACAGAAGTACACTTTTGTAGGGACTTTATATTATACTAAGAGGCCCAGTGCACAGTGGGTCCCAGCTGGCCTGCCCCGATAAGGTGGGGGAATGGGGCTGGATGGGGACAGCCAGGGGGAGGGGCTTTGGGAGGTTGGCCAGCCGGCGTACCCCTGATCAGGGCCAGGGCCAGCCAGGGGAAGAGGCCGAGAGAGGTTGGCCAGCTGCAGTGCACATCATAACGACCAGTCATTCCAGTCGCTTGGCTTTTATATATACCGGTATGTATATAGATGTAGTATAATATTATTAGAAGATAGACTGCAGTTAGTTAAAAATGTATACTATAAACCTTAAACAACCACTAAATTAGCACAACATCTAAAGTTAATAAGCCAAAGGAGACAAGATGAAATCATGATGAACATGGAATTAATCCAAAAGAAAACATAAAAGAAGAAAAAACGGAAGAATGAATAGATATGATAAAAAGTAAACAAATAGTAAGATGATAGATTTAAATCATACCATATCAATATCACATTAAATGGAAGTGGTCTAAACACACCAACTAAAAGGCTGAGATTATTAGAAAGAATAAGAAGGCAAAAAAAACCCCAATATTTTAAATACGAAGACAAAAATAGATCACAAGTAAAAAGGATGGAAAAATGGTAATTATTGGGCCTCTCTTAAAAGAACAATCAGAATAAAGAGACTTCATTTTGATTCACAGATTGCCATAATTCAATAAAGTAATTATTAGTACTATCTTGTACCCTTCATAATAAAATTCACCATTTGTATGTATTCACATGTCATTATTATTTCAATTACCTCAGTAGTACTTCTAAACACAGCAAATTAAAGATTTCAAAAGGAATTACAACTTGAGCTAAAAAATTAGCAATCTGTTCTGATGAATTAGCAACCACAATGTATTCTCAAACATGAATATATATGCTCAACAGTTTACCTTTGCATAAACTGTAATTTCACTTAAAACCGTGTATTAAGACAACAGACTCAGATGGCAAAAGCCAAGCACAATCACACCTCAACATACCCCTTTTCTTTGGAAAGAGACTTAAAAGGCTATTGATTTTTCTTTCTGATAAAATATATGTAACCAAAATGTTGTAACATATCTGTATTGCTATTTAACCATAGCCATTCATTAAAGAATTTATAAAGAAACTTATATCCCAGGCATTGCACCATATTATGCCAGGAGCTGGGGATACACAAATCTCTCTGGCTAGCATAAGCCCATACACTGCAGGGCACTGAATTCAATTCCCTGTCAAGGGTCTGGGTTACAGGTTCGATCCCCACCCCAATCGGGGCATGTGTGGGTCGAGGCACATGCAGCAGGCAACCAAACTTCCTCTCACATGGAAGTTTCTCTCTCTCCCCGCTCCCTTCTTTCCACTCTCTAAAAGTCAATGGAAAAATGTCCTGAGTGAGGATTTACAACAACAAAATCAGTATTGTGCTCTTAATAGACAAGTCTAATAGGAAAAGGATGGAAATATTTGTTTTTGAAATGTGGTAATATGCTTGAAATTATGCCTATAAAAATGTTTGTTCTATCTTCTCAATTATCTAAATGTAAAATGGTCCATTTCACCTAAGTTATCAAATTTATATAGAATTGTGCATATTATTCCTTTATTGTACTTTTGATGTCTGCAGGATCTGTAGTAATATCCTATTTTATTCCTACAATTGAATATAATTTTTCTTCTATCTTCATTTTAATTAATCCTGCTAAAGGTTTATCTATTTTATTGATTTTTTAAAGCACTTTGTTTCATTCATTTTTCTCTAGTTTTTCTGTTGTCAATTTCATTGATTTTTGCTTTTTATTGTTTCCTTTCTTCTGTTTACTCTTATTTTTGCTTTTTACTCTGATTTTTGCTTTTTATTATTTCCTTTCTTCTGTTTCTTCTGTTTTGCTCTCACTTTAAGAATGTAAAAAAAATAGCTTATATGCTATTTTTTACATTCTTAAAGTGAGAGCAAAAATTGTTGATTGAAGATTTTTTAATTTTTGCTCTCACTTTAAGAATGTAAAAAATAGCTTATTTTTACATTCTTAAAGTGAGAGCAAAAATTGTTGATTGAAGATTTTTTATTTTTTATTTTTTATTTTTTCTAATTATAAATTTTTAGTGCTATAAATTTCCCTCTGAAATTTAATTAGTTTCAGAAAAAGAATATGATATGGTTACAAGTTTGAGAATAAATAGCAGAAATTTTAAAGACAACCAAGTGGAAAACAGAATTACCAAGAAATAAAATGTTTAAGGTAAGACAGAAAAATATTCAAACTCAGTTAAAAGATGAAAGTAATATTCCTAAAACAATTCCTCAAAACAAAATGACTTGGACTGAATGACTTCAAGTAAATGACCATAAAGTCAGGCACATTTAAGAAGCGACAACCTCATCCATGGAACATAATCCACCAAATTTGCATTCCAGATAATGCAAAACAGGAAGCAGGGAGGCAGAGAACAGGAAGTTTCAGAATCTCATTTTTCCAGTGAGAACTCTCAGATGAATTGCTTTACTACACCATCAATTTCACAGATTCCTAAATGCTGCCCAACAGGAACATAGGCTGTGCACATGTGAAGGATAACTGTAGAACCATCATCATTTCATTTTAGTTACCCCTCCATGGAAAAATGGTAATTTTGAATATAATGTATGGAAGAATATCTTTTTTGCTTACCCTCTGAGCTTTTGCAAGTTCTTCTTTCAATCTTTCATAGCCCTTTTCTCTGACTTCCAAAACAGATGGGCTTCGTAAACGGGACAGACTATCGGTACTCAACCCGAATATATCATCACTGCTATCACAAGCTTCTGTTATAGTAGCACCCTGCAAAAACTCCCTCTCTGCACTACAGTTGTCCTTTCTTGTAGGTAATGTAGTGAACCCCGCTGTTACTCCAGAGGTAGAACAAGGTGCTGGGTCTGTAACATGGATGCTGTAAAGGAGAGTGCAGGACACATCAGCATGTGCTTAAATATATCTGGCATAAACACAGGTCTAGGAACGCTCAGGTCATAAACACACTGGTCTATCCAATTTGGTAGCCACTATATTAATTAATAGCATGTCCTTGGTCAAAGCTAGCATATTCTAAATCCTAATACCTACATGTGGCTAATGGCTATCAGTAGCACAGAAGTAGAACATTTTCTTCATCACAGAAAGTTCTATTGGATACTGCTACTCTGAACAAGGGTTGGCAAACAAAACAGGATAAATCCAGCCTGCTGCCTGTTTTCATAAGGCACACAAGCCAAAAATTATTTTTATATTTTCAAATGGTTGAGAAAAATCAAAATATTTTGTGGCACAAGAATACTGTATGAAATTCAAAACTTGATGCCCAAATATAAAGTCTTACTGGAGCTTATTCATTTACATACTGCCTATGGCCACTTTTGTACTTTAACAGCAGAGCTGAATAGTTACAATAGAAAATGGATAGCCCACAAAGCCTAAAATATTGACTGGCTCTTTCCATAGTTTGCTGACCCCTGCTGTCGAGTATTAACAGGTATTGCTCTTCAAGACAAGCTTATATGATTCAAATTTTTGAAAACATTAAAACTTAAAATAAGGCAACCAAGCAAACTGTCCATTTGTTTAATACAATAATCCAAAATAAGCATCTTGATGATCTCCTACCTGATACCAGATATTTCCGTACAATTTAAACGTCTGGGGGACGAATATACAGGCTGTGTAGGAAGGTCGGAGACATCTAAGGCATTAGCCTGGATAGGGGCAGAGCATAAAGATGACGGGAGAGGCCGGTAGATGACACCTGGTGAGGTAGTCTGTTCTAGAGCTCCTGCTTCATACACGCCCAGAAGGTCCGGAGAAGTAGGTGAAGCAAGGTTTACTTCATGGAAGCCTTCCAAGGGGTCATTAGCCATAGTAAAAGCCTCATCATAAGATAACCTATTGTTAAAACAAAAAGGAGGTAATTATTCTGAGATAGTGTCATTTAAAATTAAATAACAATGTATAACTATAAGTATTTAATGGTCCATTGTGAAGTATAAACTTACAATAGAAAAGTAGCAAAGAAAAATAATTACAATCATTTAATTAAGTGACCTTGGAGTACAAATACTACAAAAGGCAAACAATGTGATTTGGAATAAACTTGAAATGGATAGCTAATAGTGTTAAAGTGAGTCACAAGTATCAACGAGAAATAAGTAAAATTTTGCCTGACATTTTTAACTTTGCTATCATGTGACACTAGTTAAAATAAACAGAAGAGGCAGTGAAAAGCATATATATAGGATGAGAAGACCTAAATTCAACTATCTGTTCTGTTCTGCTTCATACTGGCTATATGACTTCAAATGAGTCAGTGTTTTCTCTTGGTCTTTTTTTTTTTTTTTAATCATTTCCAATTTAATAAGAGCTACAGAGCTATTATTAAATGCCTTTCCCAAAGATTATGAAACTGTTAACATTTTGGAACCATTTAAGAATAGGTTCAGACATGATGCCCATTATCCCTTCATATCACACTGTATATATCCTAAGTACAAGGACAATCTCCTCTTTAACCACAAATCCATCATCAAAATCAGAAAGTTAATGTTGATCAATATTACCATCTAATCAATAGGCCTCAATCAAATTTCACTGACTATCTCAATAATGTCCTTTGTTGTCCTAGAATCTCATCCAGGATAATGTATGACATTTCTCTAAGCCTTAAATTTCTCTTCTGATTGGATGAAAATGGGGATAACAATATTTCCCCCTTCTCCAGGTTGCTGTGAGGGTTAAGGGAGACAATCCACATAAAATACTTACCATACTGTGCTGGCACACAGTATGGCCTCAGTAAACATTTGTCATCATAGTCAGCCACTAACAATAACATGTATGCTTCAGTTTCTCCATAAGCAAAAAATATTTCCCATGAGTACTCGATTACATCACAGAATTCACATAAAAGCTAAAAAGTATACCACTTAAAATTTCCTACCTGAAGGATCTAAAATAAGTCTTATAAATCTTTCACTGATTTCCCACTGTCTACAGAATAAAGTCTAAACTTATTAGCTGACAAACCAAGGTCTTCTTCTATCTGAACCAAACGTCTTTCCAATTTTTTTCCTTCCTACAATAGTTAATGCATATAATACAGGACAGCACTTCTGAGCGGTGCCTCTACCCACAATGTTTTCATTCTGGGGTGAAACACTGAATCATAGTTTAAATTCAATATATAGCTCTAAATTTCTTCATTAACTATTACAAAAAATCAATTCATTAAGCTGAAAATTTTGACTCTCTCATACTCTTAATAAAAAGTGTTCAGCCCTGGCTGGTGTATCTCAGTAAACAGGGCATTGGCCCATACACCGAAGGAAAAGGGTTTGATTTCCCAGTCAAGAGCACATACCTGGGTTGCAGGTTTGACCTGTGCAGCTCCCAGGGTACTGGAGGCAACCAATAAAAGTGTCTCTCTCTCCCTCTCTCCCTTCCACTATCTGAGCCTAACCAGTCATCAAGGACAATAGGAGAGTGGAGGCATGAGTGGGGGGAGGGGTGGAATGGGGGGGTTGAGAACAAATATGTGATACCTTAATCAATAAAGAAATTTTTTAAAAAATCAATGGAAAAAATATCCTCGGTGAGGATTAACGAGAGAGAGAGAGAGAGAGAGAGAGAGAGAGAGAGAGAGAGAGAGAGAGAAAGAGAGAGAGAGAGAGAAAGAGAGAGAGAAAAGGAGAGGGAGGGAGGGAGGGGAAGGGGACAGACAAGAAAGCTAGACGCTAGACTTTTTCAAACTAACCTTGTCTTGCAGATTTAAATTTTAGCTTGGAACTATGTAAATAATAAAACAAAATTAAATTTTAAAAAAGAATTTCTAAAAATAAAGCAAATGAACCTAGCTGTGTATTGATATGGTTGCTTAAGCACATAGAAAAAAAAAAAGCTATAGCAAATGACTTAAAACAGTAATAAAATTGTATATCCCTAGTAGAACATATTTTATAAACAAAGAAAATGAAAAATCTCATGAACTATTTTCAGTAATCCTATTAGTAGTAATGCTGATATTGCTATTCTGAAACTATTACATCTAAGATTGAGCAAATAACTTATTATGTTAATGTCATTCAGAACTAAGATTTTTAGCATATAAGAGAGACAAACATAAAACCAAAGACAGTAAAACTCTGAAGTCCTAAATTTTAATCAGAAATATCAGAAAAGAAATTCTATTAAAAAAATAATTCCAGCTGAAACCGGTTTGGCTTAATGGATAGAGCATTGGCCTGCCGACTGAAAGGTCCCAGGTTCGATTCCAGTGAAGGGCATGTGCCTTGTTTGCAGGTACATCTCCAGTGGGGGGGGTGCAGGAGGTAGCTGATCGGTGTCTCTCTCTCATGGATGTTTCTAACTATCTATCCCTCTACCTTCCTCTCTGTAAAAAATCAATAAAAATATATTTAAAACAAATAAATAATTCCAAACTTTATCCACTGAAAAGGTGTAGCAATAGTAATCAACAGGAGCAATGAGTACCCCTTGTGCTCAGAGTAATACCATTTCCAACATTAAAAAAAAAAGAAAAGAAAAAAAGAAAAGAAAAGAAAAGAAAAAAAACAAGGGCTCCTTGGAGAAATGGCTGATTCCAGGCCCAGAGCAGCAATGGACAGAAGGTCCCTGGAACATCTTGTCCTACAAGGAAACAAGGAAGCAAGAAATCTATACAGGATTACTGGAGTAGTGCCTAACAGACTCCCACTAACCAAAAATGGGGTCATGTGAGCATCAGAAAGGATAATATCTGTAAAGAAGTGAAACAAAACATTTTTAAAGGCATGAGTTTATGAAATAATGTGTCTAGGCAATAACTATCAAGAGCTATTAAAATTCTAAGAGAGCTTTAATAGTATAACTGATGGATCAGAATGACAGTACCTGAATAACACCTTTATCTCAAAAAGGGAGTAAGTCAAACTATGAAGATTATGTGATAAAACAAGAAATTAATAACCCCACCATTCATGAAGCATTCTTGCCCCCCTTGCGGGGGGGACCCCAATACAATCACATGTCTAAGTTTTCATCATTCATAGGAAATATAGAGGAGAAAGGAACATATTCAATAGCATCATAAGGATGTAAACAGAAAAATCTAGACTGGGAAACTCTACTTGACAAACAATCTGGTTTTTTCAATACAGATACTGGGATAAAAATATAAAGGGAATTATAAATTAAAAAAAAAAAAGTCTGAAGAAACAGCAATAACTACATACAGTGTGTAAAACTTTTCTGAATTATTTGAATAAACCAAATATAAACACAAATATGAGGCAATCACAGAAACCTATACACTAGATATTACCGATATTATAAATTATCATCAATTTAGGGATAACAATGGTATTATGTTTATATAAAAACTCCTTATCTTTTAGAGAGATACAGTTAAGTATTTATAAATGAAACCATCGCACAGGTAGGGTCCCTTAGCCGGCAATCAGGACTGATCTGTGGGGTGATGGTGGGGGCCCCCCGCTGGCACCGGATTGGAGAGGATGCAGGCTGGGCTGAGGGGACCCTCCCTATGCACGAGTTTCATGTACCAGGCCTCTAGTCCTATATAATAAAAGTGTAATATGCAAATCAACTGAATGGTGGAATGACCAGTTGCTATGACATACAGTGACCACCAGGGGGCAGACACTCAACTCAGGAGCTGCCCCCAGGTGGTCAGAGCACTCCCAAATGGGGAGCGCACTCAGCCAGAAGCCAGGCTCACGACTGGCAAGCACAGCAGCGGTGGCAGGAGCCTCTCCTGCCTCTGCTGTAGGCAGGTGGTAAGGAGCAAGGGATCCTGGACTGTGAGAGCCCCAGACTGCAAGAAGGATGTCCACCAAGGGATCCCCGGACTGTAAAAGGGCACAGGCCGGGCTGAGGTTCCACCACCCCCACCCCCAGTGCACAAATCTCATGCACAGGGCCTCTAGTAATATAATAATAGAAATTAAGTATTTCAAGGCAAATCAAAAGAAAAATGTTTAAGAATTATAACATGTATTATTATCTATTACTTTCCTCTCTCAATTTATCATATTGACAGACTGGGGAATGAAGGGAAGGGAGAAACATCCAGATGCTTTATTTCCTAAATTAATTAAGGGTCTTCTTAATTTAGCATAAATTATGAGAGAAATAGCTTCTGTCATTAAAAATTAGACTGCCCCGAAACTGGTTTGTCTCAGTGAATAGAGCATCAGCCTGCAGACCGAAAGGTCCCAGGTTCAATTCCGGTCAAGAGCATGTACCTTGGTTGCAGGCACATCCCCAGTAGGGGGTGTACAGGTAGCAACTGATTGATGTTTCTCTCTCATTGATGTTTCTAACTCTATCCCTCTCTCTTCCTCTCTGTAAAAAAGTCAATAAAACATATATTTTTTAAAAATTAGATGGCTACTTCAATAGTATGTATAATGAATTCAAGTATTATAGTAAATTTTATCAATTAATTTGTCTCGTTAAAAACCCTCAGCAACATTTCAAGTATTTATTTATATATTAAGTACATGTATATGTATATGTATATGTACATGTATATGTATATGTATATGTGTTATATATATATATGTAATACTAGGGGCCCTAGTGCATAAATTCATGCACCTTGAAAGGAACAGTGGACCATGAGGCTTTGGTGGGTATAGGGGCAGGTCTTGGCCCATCCTCCACACCTTTGCTCAGCCCCTCCCACCACGGCCCCAGGTCCTCTCTGCCAACAGCCCCACTGCCACCACCTAGTTCCCTCGTGTGACAGTGTGGAGCTATTGGGGCCGGTGCTGTCAGTGGGTGCCCGGTCATCCCTCAGGAGCAGAGGGAGGTGGAGAAGCCCTGTGGGGTGATCAGGGCCGGCAGCTGCTGCTCATACCTGCTAACAGCGCTGAGAGATTGGGGCCAGTACCAGGCACCAGCAGAGGGTGCAAGTGGTGACTCTGGCACCAGCAGTAAGTGCAAGCAGGGCCAGTGCCAGCAGCAGGAGTGGGTGTTGGCAGCAAGTGAGAGCACCTAGCGGGACCACGGCGCCAGGGAGCAAAAAATTTTCAGTAATTCTAGTGAGAGGTTCACCCCGATGACAGTGACCAGCACCCCACCTTGGTCTGGTGCCCCTGCTAATTTGCTCCACTATCCCACCACAGCCAATGCCGACCATGTTCTACTCTCTGCCATCTGCTGCTGATGCCCACCATGTTCCGTGTGCACCCCCTAGTGGTCAGCATGACCTAGTGACTGGTTGTTCAGTTGTTCCGCAGTTCGGTCTATTTGCATATTAGGGTTATACACACACACACACACACACACAACACACATACACACACACACACACACACACACACATATATATATATATATATATATAGAGAGAGAGAGAGAGAGAGAGAGAGAGAGAGAGAGAGAGAGACTAGAGGCCTGATACACAAAAGTCATGCACAAGTGGGGTCCCAAGGCCTGGCTGGTGATCAGAGCCTATCGTGGCCATCACATCCAGTCCTGATCAGGGTCAGGCTGGCAGGGGCTTTGGGGCTTCCAGCTGCTGGCGGGGCCTGCTGGCTGCCAGACGAGGCCTACTGGATTGGGGGAGGAACCACAGGAGGTTTGCTGGCCAAGGAGAGGGACCAGGGGAGGTTGGCTGGCCGAGGGAGCACACTGGCTAAGGGGAAGCTCCTGCATTGAGCATCTGCCCCCTCGTGGTCAATAAATGGCATAGCAACTGGTCGACTGGTCATTTCAGTTGTTAGGTTGTAAAAGTCACTTAGGCTTCTATATATATAGACTAGAAGCCCGGTGCACAAAATTAGTGCATTGGGGGGGGGGGGTGTCACTCAGCCCAGCCTGCACCCTCTTCATTCCGGGACCCCTTAGGGGATGTCCAATCCCAATCCCTAAACTGGCAGTCAGACATCCCTCTCATAATCTGAGACTGCTAGTTCCTAGCCGCTCACCTATTTGCCTGCCTGGTTGCCCCTAACTGCCCTCCCCTGCCAGCATGATTGCCCCTAACTGCCCACCCCTGCTGGCCTGGTCGCCTCCAACTGCCCTCCCTGGCTGGCCTGGTCACCCCTAACCACCTCTACCTTGGCCCCCACCACTGTGGCTTATTCTGGAAGGATGTCCAGAAGATGTCTGGTCTAATTAGCATATTACCCTTTTATTAGTATAAATTAGTATAAAATAAGTGTATTTAATACATTTTTATCAATTATATTTATTCTAGTTGGAATGGAAAGAACATTGCCAACTTCAATTCCTCAAAGCGAATCCTTGATAATAAATTCTAAGAATATAGGTATGAATATAGACTAAAGAGGTGGTGCATAGCCTCTGTGATAATTCTGAGGGTTGTGGGAGGAGTGGAGGGAGAAGAAAATGTTTTAAGAAGTAAAATATAAGTTAGATTTTAAATGCTGAAGAAGAGTCCAATAGATGAGCAAGGCAATGAAATAGGATAGGGCAGTTAGGGAGTGAGGGTTTGGCATTAATAAAACTAACAAAGGAAGAAAGACAGAAAATCAGGCTGAAGAAGCACACTGTGACAGACTGACCATTAGAAGCTTTAACATGGAAAATGTTCTTGTAATTTATCCTGAAGAGATGACCAAATCCACATTTCAGAAAGCGCTTATGTACTGTAATGTCGTTAGAAAAACGACACCGAAGGCAATGAGGACTTTAGAGAAAAGACACTAGAGGCAATTGGTTAAGAGGTTAGTCAGTGCAACAGGTTAAGCAAGAGATTATGAAGATCTGATCTAATACCAAGGTCATGCATTGCAAATGGAGAGAATGGAGACATATACAGATGAAAAGCAGTCAGACAATAGGTTCATTTACTCACACATACACATGGCATTACACACATATACATTACATTACTACATTCTGTACGTGTGACATACATACATCTACATTATTCTAGTTACTCCTCACAGCATTTCTTTGAAATGATTCTTATCTCTATTTTACAGATACAGAAGCCAAGGCTCAGAAAGATTTATTAACTTCAACATGTTCAGTCAATATATAAGACCTAGGATTCAAACCCTGGTGTGTTTGACTCCAAAACCAGACTCCATTACATCTAAGAATCACCTAAAAGGTAAAACTGTCTAGGGTGAGAGAGGGGACTTAGATAAATGTTAGATCAAGGCAGATCTCTTAAGACAGGTCTCACCCAACCAACCGTAAGAAGTGAACAAGCCAAACAGAAGAATACTGCTTAATCTCTGAACCCTTGCCTTACTTTCAGAAAGAGAAAACTAAAGTTTCCCTAAAACACTGCTCATGAAATGAGTATTTGTTATTGCCATGTTTTTTTCTATTCTTCTTCCCTACATTTTCCTTCGTATCATTATTTCCTCCTCTATTTTGCTGCTATGCTGGAATTTAAAATACTTTTTCAGACCTTATAGGATTTAGGGGGGAAACTAATATATAAATAAAAGTAGGCAGAAATGACTTTACTAAAGTGGTCTTTATTTTGTATATTTAAAAAAAAACTGAATAATTTGACACTAAGGAGTAATGTGAATTTTTAAAACTATATATTTTATTGATTTTAGAGAGAAAGGGAGAGGGAGAGATAGAAACATCAATGATGAGAAAGAATCATTGATTGGCTGCCTCTGGCATGCCCCCTACTGGGTATCAAGCCCACAACCCAGGCATGTGCCCTTGGCCGGAATTGAACCTGGGACCTTTCAGTCCACAGGCTGACACTCGTATCCATTGAGCCAAATCAGCTAGGGCTTAATGTGAATATTTAAAAGTATATACTAATACTGTAGATAGCCCTTCTCTTTTAGAAATACATACTGAAATATTTACAGATTAAATTATATACTTCCTGGAATTTGCTAAAATAATACAGGAGGGGGAGAAGTAGATGAGGCAGAACTGACCATTATTGATGGTTATTGGGGCTAGATGATGGGAACTTTAAGGTTCATTACACTACTGAGTCTATTTATTTTATTTAAAATTCTCCATAATTAGAAAGTTTTGAGATGTATTCAAATACTACATAAATAAGTAAAGGAGGAAAAAACAAAACAAAAAAGTATATGTATATATAATAAATCATTTTCTCATTAACTTTCATTGTAATTTTAAAGTTGATTTTCCAAATTAACTTTTAGGTTGTAACAAAAAAAAAATCACATTTACATTTTAAGAAGCATTCTACGTTTATAAGTGTGGATTTAATTAATAACTCACGGAAAAAATTAGTCAAATGGTCAATGAAGTTGCACTATCTTCGTACTCATTAATATAGACCACAAATTAATTTCCATTTACTAATTCCACAAATATATACAATCTGACATATTTAGATATGTTATTGTAAATTCTTAAATTAAGCGTTTTCAGGAAATGCTCAGTACTTACTGGTTACTAATATTGTACTTAATTACAAATCCTTTTAACAGAAATATTTTAAAAATAGTTTTGTTAAGTTTCTCTTTTTTAATAGTGGAAGCCTCCTTATTTTGTATATGTAAGAATATACATCAACTAAACATTCAACAGGCACTGAAATATCTGTTAAAATAAACAAGAGTCCTTAGGGGATGAAGAGCAAAGCAGTGAGAAACAGAGACACTGATTACAAGCTACCTTTCCTAAAGAAGAAGATAAAAAAGAAAGCTAAGAGAATACCTTCAGAGCAAGCATGTCAAACTCAAAGGCAGGCCAAATAATCAAGGCAGCAGCTTGTGGGCTGTGAATTTGTTGAGGGTTTTGTTTTGTTTTGTTTTGTTTAATTTTTTTAAATTTATTTCATTGATTTTTTTACAGAGAGGAAGAGAGAGGGAGAAAGAGCTAGAAACGTCGATGAGAGAGAAACATCGACCAGCTGCCTCTTGCACAACCCCTACCGGGAATATGCCCGCAACCAATGTACATGCCCTTGACCAGAATCGAACCTGGGACCTTTCAGTCCGCAGACCGACGCTCTACCACTGAACCAAACCGGTTTCGGCTGAGGTTTTTTTTTTAAATATATATTTCATTGATTTTTTTACAGAGAGGAAGGGAGTTATAGAGAGTTAGAAACATCGATTAGCTGCCTTCTGCACACTCCCTACTGGGGATGTGCCTGCAATCAAGGTACATGCCCTTGACCGAAATCGAACCTGAGACCCCAGTTAGGGCTGGACTGAGTTTGACATGCTTGCTTTAGAGTATCAAGATTGGAAAAACTGAATTTTCAGTTTGGGGGAATAAGAGCATGTTATCAAACTAGCTTCAGAAAATGTTTCTTCCAGTTCAGGTTCTGTCATTGACTAGCTGTATGAACTTGAACATGCCACTTACTTTTTCTGAGTTCAAACATAATTCTCTTCCCACCAAGAAACTAATTAATGCACATTTACTTGTTTTCTCAAACCTACTTTGGTTGTTCATCATTTTTTATCCCGATTTGTTAACCAAGTGCCTACAATAAGTATCTAATAGTATCCTCTTCTCTAGATATTTCAAATTACAACCCACTTATTTAAACTGGTTCTAAACTCTCATCTGTCTGCTCTTCTATGCTTCTAGGTTACTCACATTCTTAAATTCAGTTTCTTTATACTAGACTGTCAATTCATATACTTATGTCTAGAAGTTCATCAGCTTTCATTGTGTTTACATTGTTAACTCTGTTAATTACAAGCAACAAATCCCCCATAAATTTGAACTATTTCAATAATTTTCATTCTTTTCCCTCTGACCTAAATAATCTTAGTTTATGGCTATTATTAATTTTGTGTGATTAATATCTTAAGATAAATCAAAATTACTTTTTCATTTTTTTTTCTAACAATGACTATATAAAATCTAGTAAACTTCTTAAACTACCTCATTTGGTTACAAGCTGAAAAAGAAAGCAGATGGGGGAAATAAAGATCACAAGCTAATGCTACCTGTTGTAAGTATCCCTGTCTTCCTTTCCTCAGCCTCCTCAATGCTCACTCTGAGCCCTCATTTCCATTTCTACTTCTAGATCAATTTCAATCCACTCTAACATTTTTCTACTGACCATCTATCACCAAACACAGCACAGTACCTGCGTTTGGGTTCCAGGCCCAATGCTAACGCTATAAAATAGAGCAAGATGACTTAAACCCTGCCCACAAAGCAGGCATACACTAAAGGAAAAGGCCTCCTAGTCATTAACATTATAAACACAATGTAAATATCCAGATTGATATACTAAAATAGAGGCATTGTTTTTAGGATATCAAGTACATGTAAGTAATTAATTTAGTAACCAGTTTACTACCCTTTGTTTTAACTGCATCTTGACCAGGACTACAGAGGACAAAGCTTAGTTTGATAAACTGTACTCCCTCGGAATATCCTCCAAGCTTTCCCATTACCTCAACACACAAATATCTCTACCCCACTGCTCATCCTTTCTTTCTCCCCATTGTCCACCTATTCTAACACTTTGTCTTATTTTGCACTCATTAAAATTATCACAACAGTGTATAATGTGAAGAGCACCTTCTAAATTTGAGGCTTATAAAAGATATAGGCCCTGGCAGGTTTGGCTTAGTGGATAGGGCGTCAGCCTGGGGACTCAAGGGTCCCAGATTCGATTCCGGTAAGGGGCATGTACCTTGGTTGCGGGCACATCCCCAGTAGGGCTTGTGCAGGAGGCAGCTGACCGATATTTCTCTCTCATTGATATTTCTAACTCTCTATCCCTCTCCCTTCCTCTCTGTAAAAAAATCAATAAAATATATATATTTTTTAAAAGATATGGGAATGGGTATATGGTCTATGTTCCAGACTTATTAAGAATACTTTCCTCTAACCCCACTGTGACTTGCAGAGCAGATGCTCAATGAGTGTTTGATTTAAAAATCTCTGGTGACACATGAAGAATTACTCATCACACTAATACTAAGTATCTCATAAAAGCTAAATTAAAAATAATTACAACCTGCACATGAGGAAGTAGTGGAGTGGAGAGGTTGAGAGCATGGCCATTAAAGACAAATTGCCTGACTTCTAATCTAGTCTTGTCACTTAACTAGCTTTGTGACCTTGAGCAAGCTACATGTCTGAGTTCCTCAATCTTCTCAACTATAAAATGGGATAAAAGTAGGGATTACCTAACTCCTGGGTCACTGTGCTTATAAACTGGCATAGTGCTTACACCAGAACCTGATACATGCTAAGCCCTAGACTCAATAATAGTAGTAGCACTGGTATCACCCTCAGAGGAAAACCTAGATATATAGTCTTTATTTATTGGTGTGTGGTTTTTTTTGTTTTGTTTTGTTTTGTTTTGTTTTGTTTTGTTGGGGGGGGGGGATGGAAAGGAGGAGGGAGGAGAGAAAGAGAGAGCATCCATTTGTTACTCCACTTATTTATGCATTCACTGGTTGCTTCTTATATGTGCCCTGAGGGAGATCAAATCCAAAACCTTGACATACTTGGAGGATACTCTAACCAACTGAGCTACATAGCCAGGGCCTGAATATTTTTTTCAACCTGAAATACAAACAATAACACCTTTCACCTTTCATAGTTACAAAATTCTTTTACAGAAGGTGTAGACTAGGAATGGAAAAAACAAGCATGTTAAGAGTTCTACTTTGACTTATTTGTGGAATCTAATAAACAAAATGAACTGACCAACAAAATAAGACCCAAAGCATGGAGGCATGGAACAGACTGACATACACTGATGTGGGGATGGGGAGACAAGAAGAGATAAACTAAAGAACTTGCATAGTTATATGCATAGCCCATGGACAAGGGCAATAGGGTGATGAAGACCTGGGGGGATGAGGAGGGTCTAAAGGGGTAAGGGAAGAGGGTAAAAGGAGAGAAAATGGGAGACATCTGTAATACTATCAACAATAAAACATTTTTCAAAGTTCCATTTGGGGCAATCACTCAGTTTTTAATACTGGCTCTGCCATTAGTCAGCTATATACTAGTATATGACCTTTGACAAGTAAACACAGGCAAGTTAGTTCACCTCTCTGAGCCTCAATTCCCTAATCTGTAAAACTCAATACCATCAATATCCCAGGAATGCCCAAGAATAAGGAGTCAAGGCACCTAAAGCAACAAGAACAGGGCCTGGCACACTGTCAAGCTTATATTTTTGTTCTCCCCCACCCCCCTAACCCCACATCTTACAGAGAGTATCTCATTTAATGCACATCCCACTACCATGAAGTTCATATTAGATTGAAGCATATGAAAAACAAATGACTTCTGGCAAATTCATATGGTTCAACCTAATACTGTATTCACAAATAGAGAAAATAAGCTCAGCATGCTTACATGACTTACAGTCATATGCACAGTAATGGAGCTAAAACTTGAAAAAAACCATTTACTAATTTTTCATTTGATCAGCTTACTAATTGGTTCAACAAGTCCTACTCAGGATGGGAAAAAGGAAGATATAATAACCACAATAATACATGTTCAACTACTATAACCTACAAGTTTTTGTCTGCCCTATTAAAAAATGAAGGAGACCTAGATTTCTAAGAACCTTTAATTTTCAAATTATTTGTGCAGTATCTATGTTGAGGAGAGACAAGTTTAGGAAAAGTTAGAGGGTAAAATACTGAAGGAAGAGTATGCATAGCTACATTAATTCAAAAAGTACAATTGGATCTAGAAACCCCACTAACTACAAACCCTATAAGCAGCTAAACATCAAATATCCATCAATACCACTAATGAGTTGTTTGCCAAACACATAAGGAAGAGTTATAGCAAATGTATCCATTTTGATTCAAAAAAGTATGCACTAATATATAATTTTGCTGTAGTGAAAAAAATAAAAGGCTTTTCTTCTACCAATAACAAATGTACTATTGTAGTAAAATTGTATATATAATTGCTAAATTCATTGCTATAAATTCCACAGGGGCTTTAGGATTAGATCAACTAAGCCAACACTAGGACATAATGTCTGTCTAACCATGCTGCACAGGACTACTAGTAAACAACCAATGTTAGCAGAACAAGGTCCCATAAAACCGGTGGATTATTTAATGACATAAAAGATTCACTAGGACTGATCTTCCAATCTACTCGGTCTCTTTTCTCCTTGACGTGTCAGTCATCTTAAACACACACACACACACACACACACACACACAACTGCATGAACCACAAAATAAGAATGAGGATAATGGCTAAAAAACTGGGTCTTTCAACAGATTTTACAATAGAACAGTATTGTTTTAATCCTCTTAGCAGCCTACCCAATTATGTAAGTATTCTATGGCAGAAGATTACAGGGCTCTTTCCTGAATCAGGTAGCGCCGGGGCGGGCTACATTTCCTCCAAACTCAAGCGCCTCTTAGGAAGCCATACGAAGTCAGCGGTCTTCATTTACAAAACTTGACCCTTTGGCCATTACAGATTTTTATTTTTATTTTTAATCCCATAGCAAACTGGCAACTCTCCACGTGCTGCAGGATCCCACCCAACATCACTTCTAGAATCCATTCATCTCGCTTCTCCCCATCACCCCACCCCCACCCCACCCCCGCGGTCCGGTGAGCTGTCAGCGCTGGAAGCAGCGGTGTAATCACAATTACGTCGGTGCAGCGCGTCCCAAGTCCCCGAAACAAAAGTCCGGCTGCCTCCGGGCGCGACGCCGGCGGCCGCTGCTGCCCGCCAGGTCTCGCCAAACCTCCCGAGCGGGACCCTCGGGATGGGGTCGGGCAGGTGGCTCAGTAAGACCCCCGGGTCCATGCCCCCTGCTTCGCCCCGCCCCGGACTTATGGGGGAACTCTCTCTGCGGAACCCCCTCCAGGCCCCCGGCCCGGCCCCGGCCGCGCGCCCCGCCGACAGGTAACCCGGCTCCGAGTCCCCGGCCGCGGGCGGGCGCTCGGGCGGCGCAGTTACTGAGTAACGAGCCCGCACCTGGGAGGAGGGGCGGGAGGGGAGGGGGCCGCGGCGCCCCCGGGGGTGCCCCGATGCCGGAGCCCAGCGCCCGAGGAACTGTTCGGAGAGCCGAAGCCCACCAGCCCGGGCGAGAGGGCGCACCCGCCGGGTCCCGGCAGCCGGCCCGACCCCGCGCACCGCGCCCTCTGCGGCGCCGCACCTGCACCTGCCGCGGCCGCCCTCAGGGCCGGCCGGGGAGGCGGGGTGCGGGCGCCCGTGGGGCGGCGCTCGGCGCCCCGGCCTCTCTCGCGCGCGGCTGCACTCACCTGAGGAACCCGCGGCGGCCGCTGCCCTGGCTCAGAAGCGCTCGCGGAGCCCCCCGGAGCGCGCCCCGAAGCCGCGAGAGGGTGAGGAGGCCGCTGGCGACGCCGCTACCCTCGGCCGCGGCGGGCGCACTGCGCTGGGGACCGCCGAGGG